TGGTGTGTAGGATGTAGGCTTTGTCTGGATTACATAGTGTCCAGGGGGTTGGATAGACGTTTTTGTCACAATACGCGTAATCATTTTTCAAATTGACTTCAGATTACTTTCTGGTAGTTGTATTTTTAATAATAGTTGAGCGATTGTTCAAAGGGAAAAACAGATTTGACGATCAAAACGGCACGTCACCGAGATTGATACCACGGGTTAACATCGATCTCCAACAGCTGGTCCTACTGCACGGTATAATGCCGTCGTTCACTTACACCGCGACAAATATCCACCAAACAATATCAGCTGTATTTCCCTGGATGTACGTATTGTTTGTGTTTTGGGTGTATTGTGTGAGCTGTGAGAACTTTTTTGCGTTAGATTGTGTGCATGTTTTTATGTGTTCAGCGTGTAGAATGTCAATTCTGTAAGTAAAGATGCAACAAAACAATTTCCAAATCCAATAGAAATCTCTGCATAAACCAGAGTTGATTGTACGTTTCCGACCAATATCATGAGCTTGTGTTTATGAACACCAGGTGTTCGCGAAAAGGTGAGCGTATCCTGCCCCACCGGTGGCACCCGTCACAAACACATGCAAAGGCAAGTCAATTGTTTACCTAAAAACAACATGGGTAATGTTGTAATCATGATGAAACATATTCTGAATAAGTGTATTATGACGTTCTTTGAAACCTTTTAGAAAGAGCATGCTCAATTGTATCTCAACAGTTGTGAAATTTAAACACCAAAGGTTGGAGTTACTGGAATATTGCTCAACCTGAAGAGGAGTTGACAATTGGAGTGTTGAAGTCATCCCTCTTGTCACAGAGTCTTGTAGGTAACATGTGTAGCGTGTCGCAGTGTGTGGTGTGTCATTTGGCATGTGTCATGTGCCATACGTCATGTGAATAATGTAAATATAAAACGGTTACGCCAGAGAATAACCTGTCTCGACTATCTGCCGACACAGATTCCTTTGGGCGTACCAGGCAAAACAGTGGTGAAAAATATATGAATCGAATCAATGCTGACGCCAGGTTTTCGCGAACAAGACTGAGTGTAATGTTAGATGTACGGCACGACTTTGTGAAGTGTCTGGTGTCGTGGGGGGAGGCGGGACGGGTGGCCCAGTCGTCTAAGGCGCCGCAATTCCCTGTGCAGACTTTCTTCCCTTGGGCACGCCAGACACCTATGATTGTGGATTCGAATCCCGGTTCGCCCCGATTATGTTTCTAGGTTTGTCAGCACCATACCCGTGCTCGTGGGTTTCACCGAAGTGGTAAACGTCTGAGACAACTTCGGGCTTTCCTCCCACATAAAGCTGACACGCCGTGATATAACTGGAATACTGTTAAAATCTTCGTTAAACCCAACTCACTCATCCTAAAATTGTGAGGACCCTGATGGGGTAATGTCTAGATACAACAAACACACCCATGTAGATCTGGGGTTGTGATAATTCCCCAGCAACATATGCTTGTCATACAGGGAGCCGACCAGCTTGTACTAGTCCGGACTGATGCCGATTTATAGTGCTATCCCGCGGAGATACCATGCCGCAGTTTAACATGAATACCCCACTCAGACACAGTATACTAACTCCGAGCCGACCAGTCCTTGTTTTAGCCCCTTTATGCCGACCGCCAGACAGGATAACAACAAAGACCATAATTTAACGTCTTTTGGTAATGAGGCGGTCAGTCGACCTCTGAAAGCCAGGGTAACAACAAGTAACATTTCTTTACGTCAATTGGCATGGCGTGGCCAGGGGAGCGAACCACTGATCTCCCACTCTCCGGGTGCACGCTCTACCACTCGACCATGGAGGCGGTCAATCGACCTCTGAAAGCCAGGGTAACAACAAGTAACATGTCTTTACGTCAATTGGCATGGCGTGGCCAGGGGAGCGAACCACTGATCTACCACGTGCACGCTCTATCCAGTACACCATGAAGGCGATCTAGCGGCATGTAGGAGAGAGAATGTACACGAATCTTGCAAACATGCAGAATTATTTATTACACATAACATACTTATCACATAACAATTAACTTAATTGAATAATACTTCACTAGAATCTTAAGTTGTCCATTGAACAATTAAAACCCTTGTTTAAGCAATGGCTCTTTAACCAGTGATCGCAGAACAGTGGCAACACTGGAACCGTTCCATTAGTCAGATTTCCCAAAGCATGAGCCATTACTGTCAAGATTGATTTGCCTTCGAAGATCTTCGAGAACGTGAGCCGCCTAATGGATTCCTGGCAATATTTCCACAAGAAAATACTCACTTTCTAAAACTAAGTTAGAAACGTATTCTACATTGCATGCCAAGTCAAAATAGAATCAGGTACATTTGTCGTTATGTTGGCCATATATATGGACACAGGCGATATATGAACAGAGGACTGTTAAAATTCATTTTAATTGGATAGAAAAATAGAAAGTGTCAGTCCCTCTCCAAGACAGTGAAATATGGACACTGCCACAGTAAATCTTTTGTCTCATTGGATGTGAACAGAAACCTGACATGAGAGGTTCTTGATCCTGCTGGAAACCAACTGCCAGTCAGCAAGAATCCGAGCAGCACTTTGTCATATCTAATGTTACTCTGACACTGGGGGGTTTGGAATGTTAATATGTAATTGAGACAAACATTCGCGAGGAATTCGGTCAAGTCATTTCAGAAACAGTAATATGATGTATGATGTATTGCAAGATAGCAAGATACTATCATAATTGTAAATGTCATTTACATAACACAAGTAAAAGTATGTCTCATCGACATATGTGTACCACCCTCGTGAAGATCCAGGTTTAAACTCGTCTTTAGCACAAACCCTCGCTTGTTTTCCCCTATGGAGATCCAGGTTTAAACTCGTCTTTAGAACAACCCTCGCTTGTCTTCCCCTATGGAGATCCGGGTTTAAACTCGTCTTTAGCACAACCCTCGGTTGTCTTCCCCTATGGAGATCCAGGTTTAAACTCGTCTTTAGCACAACCCTCGCTTGTCTTCCCCTATGGAGATCCAGGTTTAAACTCGTCTTTAGCACAACCCTTCCTTGTCTCCTCTATGGAGATCCAGGTTTAAACTCGTCTTTAGCACAACCCTCGCTCGTCTTCCCCTATGGAGATCCAGGTTAAAACACGTCTTTAGCACAACCCTTACTTGTCTCCTCTATGGAGATCAAGGTTTAAACTCGTCTTTAGCACAACCCTCGCTTGTCTTGCCCTATGGAGATCCAGGTTTAAACTCGTCTTTAGCACAACCCTCGCTTGTCTTCCCCTATGGAGATCCAGGTTAAAACTCGTCTTTAGCACAACCCTTACTTGTCTCCTCTATGGAGATCCAGGTTTAAACTCGTCTTTAGCACATCCCTCGCTTGTCTTCCCTTATGGAGATCCAGGTTTAAACTCGTCTTTAGAACAACCCTTACGTGTCTCCCCTATGAAGAACAAGATGTGAACTGGTCTTCAGCAACCCGTGCTTGTCGTAAGACGACTAACGATTGGGAGGTCAGGCTCGGCGACTTGGTTGACACATGTCATCGTATCCTAAATGCGTACGTCAAAGCTCATGCTGTCAATCACCGGATTGTGATCAATTATTTACAGACCACCGTCATATAGATGGAATATTGCTGAGAGAGGCTTTACACAACAAACAACCTGTACCAAGTGAGTTACGTGGGTGACGGGAGCTATTGACTTAAAGCTATATTGTATAACCCACGTGGTGAAGAGGTACTAAATTTGATCTCGTTTTATTCGTTTTGTTTGGATAAAATGACCTCGATGTGGAAATCGTGCTGGAACTAATTTTCATTCATAAACGACACCTCATCGAGCACGCTGTGAGTGAGTGAGTATGGTTTTACGCCGCTTTTAGCAATATTCCAGCAATATCACGGCGGGGGACACCAGAAATGGGCTTCACAAATTGTACCCATGTCGGGATTCGAACCCGGGTCTTCGGCGTGAGAACGAACGCTTTAACCACTAGGCTACCCGACCGCCCCCCGAGCACGTTGTGATATAACTGAGGCAGCGTTCTCAGGGAAGTTAAATCAAACTCGATCCTTCACTCAGACACATCATCCAGATTTACACATTATCGAAGTAAAACAAGGATGGGGCGCCCTTCGGTTGCGCTACGGATTCAAAACGAATTAAATCTTAACTGAGATCAACTGTACACGCAAGATACAATTGAGCAATATCTAGTTGCTAAGTACAGATCGAGAGATCGAGAAGTCTGGGTCAAGGTCTACGGTAATGGACCAACCACTTTCAATTTGATATAATGTAACTGATCCAGTATCACGAAATGAACCAAGTTCTCATTTTAAATGCTATCTGGACCTACTCTGGCGCCTCGGGTTGGCCATCAGTGTCCCCAACGCATATTTTACTTTAAGAAAGTGTTAATGAAAGTGGTCATGTTCGCTCTTCAGTATGGGGCGGTGCGATTACTTAGTACCTTATACTCAAATCATGACGTGAACACATGGACGGCGTATCATAGATAAACACCTATATGTAAAGGGGTCCGAAAGAAATGGAGCGTGCCAGTGACAGTGAAGGGGCGGTCGGGTAGCCTAGTGGTTAAAGCCATCCTGTCACGCCGAAGACCCGGGTTCGATTCCCGACATGGGTACAGTGTACAAGGTAGTGTGCAAGGTAGTGTGGGAGGTGGGGTATGTAAGGTAGTGTGCGAGGTAGTGTACGAGGTAGTATGCGAGCTAGTGTACGGATAGTGGTGACGTTGTGTGGTAGGTGGGGTATGTAAGGTAGTGTACGAGGTAGTATGCAAGCTAGTGTACGAGGTACATGTAGTGTGCGAGGTAGTGTACGAGGTAGTGTACGAGGTAGTGTGGCAGGTGGGGTATGTAAGGTAGTGTACGAGGTAGTGTACGAGGTAGTGTACAAGGTAGTATGCGAGCTAGTGTACGGATAGTGGTGACGTTGTGTGGTAGGTGGGGTATGTAAGGTAGTGTACGAGGTAGTATGCAAGCTAGTGTACGAGGTACATGTAGTGTGCGAGGTAGTGTACGAGGTAGTGTACGAGGTAGTGTGGCAGCTGGGGTCTGTAAGGTAGTGTACGAGGTAGAGTACGAGGAAGTGTGCGAGGTAGTGGTGACGTAGTGTGCGAGATAGTGTACGAGTGAGTGTGCGAGGTAGTGGTGAGGTTGTGTGCGAGGTAGTGCACGAGGTAGTGTACGAGGTAGTGTGGGAGGTAGTGGTGAGGTAGTGTAAGAGGTAGTGGTGAGGTAGTCTGGCAGGTGGGGTATGTAAGGTAGTGTACGAGGTAGTATTCGAGGTAGTGTGCGAGGAAGTGTGCGAGGTAGTGTACAAGGTAGTGTGCGAGGTAGTGTACGAGGTAGTGTACCAGGTAGTGTGCGCGATAGTGTGCAAGGTAGTGTATGAGGTTGTGTACGAGGTAGTGTGCGAGGTAGTGGTGAGGTAGTGTGCGAGGTAGTGGTGAGGTAGTGTGGGAGGTAGTGTGGGAGGTAGTGTACGAGGTAGTGGTGAGACAGAGGACGAGGTATTGTGCCAGATAGTGTGCGAGATAGTGTGCAAGGTAGTGTACGAGGTTGCGTGCGAGGTAGTGTACGTGGTAGTGTACGAGGTAGTGGTGAGGTAGTGTACGATGTAGTGTACGAGGTAGTGTGCGAGATAGTGTACGAGGTAGTGTGTGAGGTAGTGTACGAAGTAGTGGAGAGGTTGTGTGGCAGGTGGGGTATGTAAGGTAGTGTACGAGGTAGTGTGCGAGGTAGTGTACGAGGTAGTGTACGAGGTAGTGTACTAGGTAGTGTACGAAGTAGTGTACGAGGTAGTGTGCGAGGTAGTGTACGAGGTAGTGTGCGAGGTAGTGTGCGAGGTAGTGTACGAGGTAGTGTACGAGGTAGTGTACGAGGTAGTGTGCGAGGTAGTGTACGAGATAGTGTACGAGGTAGTGTGCGAGGTAGTGTACGAGGTAGTGTGCGAGGTAGTGTACGAGATAGTGTACGAGGTAGTGTGCGAGGTAGTGTACGAGGTAGTGTGCGAGGTAGTGTACGAGGTAGTGGAGAGGTTGTGTGGCAGGTGGGGTATGTAAGGTAGTGTACTAGGTAGTGTACGAAGTAGTGTACGAGGTTGTGTGCGAGGTAGTGTACGAGGTAGTGTACGTGGTAGTGGTGAGGTAGTGTACGAGGTAGTGGAGAGGTTGTGTGGCAGGTGGGGTATGTAAGGTAGTGTACGAGGTAGTGTGCGAGGTAGTGTACGAGGTAGTGTACTAGGTAGTGTACGAGGTAGTGTACGAGGTAGTGTACGAGGTAGTGTACGAGGTAGTGTACTAGGTAGTGTACGAAGTAGTGTACGAGGTAGTGTGCGAGGTAGTGTGCGAGGTAGTGTACGAGGTAGTGTGCGAGGTAGTGTACGAGATAGTGTACGAGGTAGTGTGCGAGGTAGTGTACGAGGTAGTGTGCGAGGTAGTGTACGAGGTAGTGGAGAGGTTGTGTGGCAGGTGGGGTATGTAAGGTAGTGTACTAGGTAGTGTACGAAGTAGTGTACGAGGTTGTGTGCGAGGTAGTGTACGAGGTAGTGTACGTGGTAGTGGTGAGGTAGTGTACGATGTAGTGTACGAGGTAGTGTGCGAGATAGTGTACGAGGTAGTGTGTGAGGTAGTGTACGAGGTAGTGGAGAGGTTGTGTGGCAGGTGGGGTATGTAAGGTAGTGTGCGAGGTCGTGTACGAGGTAGTGTGCGAGGTAGTGTACGAGGTAGTGTACAAGGTAGTGTGCGAGGTCGTGTACGAGGTAGTGGTGAGCTAGTATTTACTGTTCTCATCTGTGCTCTGGAACGGTCTGATTCATTGAATCAGCAGTCTTGTAACGTTATGTAAGGTACCCTTGTTACAGGTGAGAGACCAGTACAAAGAAGCCAAGTACATATTAACAGTAATCGCCTTTGGAACAAAACAGAGGAAGACCATAATTTCCAATCAGCATAGCTTTAAAAAGTTGAAGTTCTGTATCGATCACAGTAGCTGTTCAGTCCCTGCTTCTGCTTAATGTATCATATATTCCCTCAAGCCAATGCCATTTGCCAGGAAAGTGCGTCATATCTGAAAGAAAATACAATGTAATTCATGATAGATACTGCGAGCTGTCAAGCCTTATTCCGAGCAACTGTGTCCCCGAAGACCTCAGGTGAAGAAACAAACGACTCTTGTTACTGGAGCAGCAGGCTTTTGAATACAGAATAATATCAAGCTGAATGTTTTATTATTTGGAATCACCTATTTTGGCTGCATATTGATAAAGGGTAGATAGCTGACAATACATCTGACAAACAGATGAAGACTAATTATGTTATATATTTGAACCCGATTCTTTTGGAGTCAAAATACGGTAAACATCGAAATTAGCCCTACTACCTGAACGTTTCAAATTGAAAATGCAAATTTACGAAACATGTTTTATCTCAACGACGGTTTCTTTTGTCATCATCTTTTGTGTTCGTGTGGTTGTGTAGTAGTGTAGGAGGTGTTGGGTGGTGGTGGGTTGAGTGAAGGGTTGCGAGAGTATATTATGTTTTTCTTAGAGTCCTGTGAACTCTAATATGTCTTGCAGGAGAGTATGTGAAGACAGAAAACGGTCACAAGACGTTCCTTCAACATAATGATAGCATCGTCGAAACGTTACAATATGAATAGTGCCACAACACTGTAGCTCACCTGGATATGTAGTCAACAGAGTTTAAATAACAAAGAAAGCCAAAGAACGAAAATTCCTGCCATTATTCAGTTTAATTTTTAAATATTTTCTGCACAAACACTCAACCCTAAAACTAATGTTTTAGGAACTGAACAAAATATCATATGATAAAGTTCAGCTCCCTCAATCTGGATATTTCAGACAAAAAATTAAAATCATGGTCATTCAAGGAATGGCCATAAATAGCTTGGTTCAGTGTGACTGTCGAACCTCTTGACCAAATTGGGATGTCATTGTTGGTAGGAACAAGTATTCGAAGTTTCAGCATAATTGGCTCAGTGGTTTCTGAGGAACTTATGTTTACGACCGACAAACAGGCCACGTCGTAAACCCACTCGATCCTCAATCAGGTGAGCTACAACGTGATACCCGTTCCGATAGAGGTGAATGAGTTGTATTGACATATCTGCAGAAGGACATAATTTGTACAAACTCTCACATATGCTATTTGATGGCATCCCCATGGGAAATAACGCCAGATGGTTTCCACAGAACTAGACGAAACCGTTCTGGTGATACACGATACACTAATTAAGACGTTCCATTGTGCTAAGGTGAATTATATACGAGGCTACATTATATCGTCTTTGCATGTAACAAAAGTGTTCATATAATAATAAGGATAGTTGCATAGTTGCGTCCTTTTGGCACGCCACGAACCTATGACTATGGATTCGGATCCCGATTCGCCTAGATTATGTTTCTAGGTTTGTCAGCACCATACCCGTGCTCGTTGGCTTTCACCAAAGTGGTAAACGTCTGAGACCTGCATCACTTCGGGCTTTCCTCCCACATGAAGCTGACACGCCGTGATATGACTTGAATAATGTTCAACGCGGCGTTAAAACCCAACTCACTCTCTCACATAATACTATGATAATCATATGATTATGATATCAATACTAGGCATTCCAGAAGTAAATGCGACAAAAAATGTTTACATTTGTGTCGCCCAGTAACATAACGATTGCACATTTGGTAAATTTTGACTACATCATCATATGATGGCGCGGTGCAATTGGGCCAAGTGTTTTGTGTGTTCTTTCTAAATGTTACAACATTGGCGTACAAAATGGGGTGACATATCACCCACGTCAATGTCATGCAACTCACTGGCCTGCTTGAGGGAGCTGCGAAAACGTTGTTGTGTACTGGTCCTCTTTACTAACCGTCATTAACTGGTCGAATCATGCTTTTATAACATTCTACTAAAATTATGAAGAGGTCGAGTTGAACTCCTCGACCGCCGTCTTTAATTATAAAAATAAGTAAAACGGTCGGGATCGTAACGATGACGTTATAAACTGCAACTCTTGACAGTTATGATGAGTAAGGATAAGAATTTATGGATGAACAACTTCTTTATTACAATTACAGAGTAGATTTGCCTCCTACGTGTATATATACTTGTCAACTACACTCTGTAAATCACTTGCTTGATAACGGTGTTAGAACCTACACCGAAACGTCGCTCTTAATTGTAATAAAGAAATTGTTCATCCATAAATTCTTATCCTTACTTAGTACTCCAACTTCTAAATGCCCATCAAGTTATGATGAGGATAAATAAATGTAAATTGTCAGTGCAATAGAATAAGCAGCCTAGATTTTCTGCCGAAACAGATTCCACTTGGCGTAAAGGGCAAATAGCTGAGGAACTTATATGAAAGGATCGCTGAAAATCAGTGAGGACACCAGCTGTTCGCGAAAAGGGTAAGCATGTCCTGCCCTGTCGGTTGCACCGCGAAACATACACTGCACATAAACATGTTAGTATTTATTGCCTGAGGCAGCACAGCAGAACTTCTGCCATGCGGCGGCGGCCTGTAAATAAATCAGACAATCAAGTGATCAATGAACCAGTAATCCCAGTGACACGAGAGTGCCATTACAGATTTTGTTGAAACTAATAAACACGTTACGTTAATTTTAAATTACATCTGCTACGTAGTGCAGAGTGAGTGAGTGAGTATTGTTTAAGGCCGCTTTTCGCAGTATTCCAGCAATATCACGGCGGTGGACACCAGAAATGGGCTTCACAAATTGTAACCATGTCGGGAATCGAACCGGGTGTGACGAGCGAACGCTTTGACCACTAGGCTATCCGACCTCCCCCAAGTTCAGAGGTTTTGCTGCTTCTAAGTGAAGAAAAGCGTAGAGAAACTCCAAGTGATTAAATAAGGTTTAACGTCGTGTTCAAGATTATAACACTTAAATAACGACGTGCATGCACGTGTGTGTGTGTGGCTGCTTGTACTAGTCCGGGCTTATGTCATGTTATATTACTTCTGTTATAGATTAATAATCATAACGTGGATGTAGGGACATGTATCACGTGGGTTATCAATTATCTCCCATGTTAATGTGAGGCATAATGGCTGCTGTACATCAGTATTATCATGAATGATGTCCGCTTTGGTACACGACCCACGGATACACCTCCTAGTTTATTTGCACAAGTTGAATGATCAGCTGCGTTGTGGTCTCGACCTTTGCTACCAGTTGGACAAGTCCCGTTTCACGAACATCTGGCAGTGATTGCGTAGGTCCTTGCATTTGTCAAGTCCATCTTCTATAGATTTCTTACCTTTTTGGTGATAGTGAGGCGATAGTAATAACACTTAGCATTGCCAATTAATTCTATGACCCGTGAAGATCCGGAATAGAATTGATCGTAAGCAACCCATGCTTGTCGTTAGGGGCAACATACGGGATCGGGCGGTCATGCTCTGACTTGGTTGATGCATGTCATCGTATCCCAATTGCGTAGAACGATGATCATGATGTCAATCATTGGATTGTCTGGTGTAGCCTCAATTATTCAAAGACCGTATATGGCTGGAATGTTAATGTGTGCGGCGTTAAACAACAAATAAACAAATTAATTCTATAGAAACCTTTACAAAGTGATCTTGATTAAACTTAAATCAAATTGATTGTACCTAGTAACCAGTCATCTAAGCGTCAATTTGTCATTATCATTAAGAATTTATTAGATGTTGATATTCAGCATACTTATTCCCCGAAGTGTACTTGTGAATAATTTATATAACGACGCTACTTCGGGGATTGAAACATATAAATATGTACGATTCAACATGGAGGAGAAAATCGATAAATTGATGTCAAAATCAATATACGTCAGATATTCCAAACGGCATCCTTACCAGCCGTCATATGATGTTGGCGACCCGTGATGATCCGGGGTAGAATAGGTCTTCAGTAACACATGCTTGCCGCAAAAGGCGACTATGCTTGTCGTAAGAGACGAATAACGGGATCGGGTGGTTAGGCTCGCTGACTTGGTTGATACATGTCATCGTATCCCAATTAGATCGATGTTCATGATGTGAATCACTGGATTGTCTTGTCCACACTTGATTATTTACAGACCTCCGTCAAAATGCTGGAATATTGCTGAGTGCGGCGCTAAAAAACAAACAAACAAAACAAACCATGATGTTGGCTGCCGTGTGATGACGTACCAAACAAACATCGTCGCGCACGTTAAGTGGAATAAATGGTATTGGAAAGTGAGATTCATCGCCCGGTTCCTGAAACCGGATTTCCGAAAAGATGGAAAATGATATTAGTAGGCTAAGTGGGATCATGACGAGCAGGTTTCCACTGTATCCCAACATCATGATATACTAGTCAAGCATGGGATGTGGTACAGGGTGATACAGGAGGATACAGGGTGATAGAGGAGCATACAGGGTGACACAGTATGATATAGGTTGATACAGGATGATACAGTGAGTGAGTGAGTTGGGTTTAACGCCGCTTTTAACAGTATTCCAGCATGGGTATGGTGCTGACAAACCTAGAAACATAATTGGGGCGAACCGGGATTCGAACCCACAATCATAGGTTTCTGGTGTGCCGAAGGGACGCAACTCTGCACAGCGATTCGCGGCGCCTTAGACGACTGGGCCACCCGTGCCCCCAGGATGATACAGGATGATACAGGGCGATACAGCGTAACAGGGTGATGCAAGGTCTACAGGAAGATACAGGATAATACATGGTGATACATGGTGATACAGGGTGATACAGGATGATACAGGATGATACAGGGTGATACGGGGTGATACAGGGTGATACAGGATGATACAGGGTGATACGGGGTGATACAGGGTGATACAGGGTGTTACAGAGTGATACAGGATGATACAGGGTGATACAGGATGATACAGGATGATACAGGGTGATACGGGGTAATACAGGATGATACAGGATGATACAGGGTGTTACAGAATGATACAGGGTGATACAGGGTGATACATGGTGATACAGGATGATACAGGGTGATACATGGTGATACAGGATGTTACAGGGTGATACAGGATGTTACAGGGTGATACAGGGTGTTACAGGGTGATCCATGGTGTTGCAGGGCCATAACGGATGATACAGAATGATACAGGATGATACAGGGTGATACATGGTGTTACAGGGTCATAACGGATGGTACAGAATAATACAGGCTGATACAGGGTGATACGGGCTGATACATGGTGTTGCAGGGTCATAACGGATGGTACAGAATGATACAGGATGATACAGGGTGATACAGGGTGATACAGGGTGATACAGGATGATCCAGGGTGTTACAGAATGATACAGGATGATACATGATGATACAGGGTGATACAGGATGTTGCAGGGTCATAACGGATGATACAGAATGATACAGGGTGATACAGGGTGATACAGGGTCATAAAGGATGATACAGGATGATGGAGGGTGATACAGGGTGATACAGGATGATGGAGGGTGATACAGGGGGATACAGGGTGATACAGGATGATCGAGGGTGATACAGGGGGATACAGGGTGATACAGGATGATCGAGGGTGATACAGGG